TCGGCGTTAGCATCGTCCGTGTCTCAGTCTCTCGAGAACAACACACAACTTACAGTTAAAATAACTCTGTTTACCCCCCTGCTGCGGTTAGTCGGGAGCTGACGTGCGTGGTCACAGTTCATAAGATGAAAAAACAAACACTAAGCATCATGGTCGCCAGAAGGCACTTGCTTGAATCGCTAGCAAAGAGCCCGAGCGAGTCACCGAATAGCTGAAAGGGGCCTCCGAGTACGCCATCAGCGTTATAGTGGCTGCGGAATCATAACAGATGAAGAATTCGCCCCGGGTTTCAGCACAGCTGAAAAGAAGCGGCCGAGAGTTGGTACGTCTTTGATCTTGGGTCATGAGTCAGTGGGCCGCATGGCTAGTAAACAGATTGAAGTGTTGGGAATTGGTGCTTGTGTACTACGCACTCCGCCCGACATTTACACGCTCTCAAGAAACATCAGATGTGTTGCAAAGTGGCGTTTGTCTTAGTCGGCGGTCCGCTCGAGTCAGATCGCGTTACTCCGTAGCATCCAAGTCAAAGAGTAAGAGGAGCACAGAGTCTGTGCCACTGGCTCGTGGCAACACAAGCGAGGGCAACATGGACAGCAATGAGAACTGATGTTGATAGGTGTTAGGGGAGCAGAATTGAGGCAGCGATTTTCATCTCTTTAGCTGCCCACTGGCTTGCGGAGACTCCTCTGCCATACAATTTCCTTAGGTAAGCGAGTCTCCACAAGCCAGTGGGCAGCTCAAGAGATAGTGACAAGCATCGATGCTCCCACGAGCATGGAGACGGAACAAGGCAGTTCCAGAGTGTGACAGAATATATTGGCCCGACAACATTTTGGGTTTTCGGCAGGCTATCGCGAGATAGCTTTAGCTAGTAGGCCGCGACGCGGCACCAATTACGCTGGTATATTTAACGCGTCACGATACGTGTATAGATGGTTTATTTTTTTGGTCTCTTATTATGTTTAGCCTGGTATAGCCTAATACTAAATTACTAGATTTTACGCTTGCACGATACTTGTATTATGCTTGTAATTTCACTTGACTAATGAGCAATACATACAATTCAAACCTTAATAAATATTGGCCCGACAAGAAGTATACACTAATATGGGACAGTGTCTGTAATATTGAGCGCGATAGTCAAGTACCTATGTACTTACTTTTTCTCTCTCTGTCCATGCTCAAGATGCCCCACATCTTTCGCTCCAAGCATGCTGTGATTGGGCAAGAGCACGTATATACCTTGCCCTGTCTGGCGGCTGGAAGCTCAAGCACTTGAGCTTCAGAAAAGCTTACAGCCCAAACGTGAGCAGGCAAGAATCGCGGCACCACCTCAGATACCAACTCTAGTATCATCACGTCACTTCACCAGATCACGATCCTAGTGCTGCCTGACCCTTCCATAGCTAGACGATCCGTTGACTTCTACCATCGGGACATGTTCGCTGGCTTTGTGCAAGTTCAGTCACAGCGACAATGGCCAACCCCGTAGGCGAAGATGCCTGGCTTGCCTACATCGAAGAGACCACTCGAACCGCCTCCGATCTCGAGAAGCGCGTCCATGTTGTCGAGGAGTATAAGCGCGCCGTCGGTGACGAGCCCGGAAGCATGCGTCTATGGCTTGCCTATTGCAACTATTTCTGGAATCTGTGGGAAAGCAGCAACTCCAACGACGCTGGCTGGTCTGAAGAGGAACAGATACTAGGTCGAGAGGTCTTTTCCTTCGAAGCGGCCCTGGAACTGTGGCAGCGAGGCTATGAGGCGATCAAGTATCGCCTGAGCGACAGTCATGAGCTCTGGGATCTCTGGATGTCTTTTGAAAAGGAACAGTTTGTCAAGAGCAGGACACCAGAGGGCCTCCGTCGCATCACCCATCTTTACCGCCAGCGTTTAGCTACGCCGCATTTACACTGGGAGGAAACTTCACAAGCATTTTCGAGCTTTCTGTCGGAGTATAATCAATCGGAATGGGAGAAATCCATGCAAGAAATCACCGCCAACGCCCAGGCTACGAAGAAAGCCGTCCAAGTACGCGATCCATTCGAATTTCAACTGAAACAAGTCCATCGTAACGGCGATGTCGAAGCACAAAAGGCCAAACTACGGGAATACCTTGATTGGGAGGTGCGAGGGATGAAGAGACGCCAAGACGGCGCCGAATTAAATCGGAATATTTGCGCTGGGTTATTCGACAGAGCTCTGACCGGATTGTTTGCGACCGACGAGGACGCCTGGCATGACTACATCGTATTTCTCTCTTCGTCGATGTCTGACTTTAAATCTGCGGCTGGGGACTTGCTAGATGCGTCACGCAGGTCAGTTCTTCATTGTCCGTGGTCAGGGCGGCTTTGGAGCAGATACATTCTATGTGCCGAGGAGGCAAACCTAGAATTTGCAGATATTGAGTCTATCAAGCACACTGCTACAAGTAATGACCAACTATACAAGAACGGCATGGAGAGTATGATTAAAGTGTATGAGGCTTGGTGCGCGTTTCTGAAGAGAAGGGCACTTAAACCCGCTGCCTCTGATGAGGCTGCCGATGTCGCAGAGGTTGGCCTAAGGGCTGCCATTGAAGACGTTGAAATCACAGGGAAGAGGCTCTATGGCAAAGAATTCCAGGGTGACCCAAAGTATCGACTGGAACGCCTCTATATTCAGTATTTGACGGAAAAGAAGGGCGCCATCAAAGACGCCAGGGCACAGTGGAAAAAGCTTGAGCATAGAAGTGTTCACGCCGACAGCTACGACTTTTGGTTCAACTATTACACTTGGGAGATGCTCGCATTCTCTAAACAGAATCATAGCGAAAATGTATCATCACACGGCGGCCTCTATGTCCCTTCGGCAGCAACCGCAGTGCTGTATTCCGCTGCAACCCGCAAGACTATCGATTGGCCAGAGGGGGTTCTTGAAATGTATCAGCAACATTGCAACAATTATGAGCTGCCGGCCTCAGTGCGTCAGGCAGATGACTTTGTTAATAAGACGCAAAAGATCATTGCATACCGCCGAAAGAAACAGGAGGAGCAACAAGCTGCGCAGGATGCTGCCTACTACGAAAGTCAGGCTCAAGCTCAAACACAAGCTCAGAAGGAAGGGGTCGAATCCAACGAACAGTCCGTGTCTATTGTAGATGCTTCATCTTCACCGAGCGAACCTAAGAGGAAGCGCGATTTCCTCGCAGACACACAAGACGACGATGTAGAGAATGCGAGTAAACGCCAAAAAAATGATGACCAAATATCCGAGACTACCGAACAACCCACCAAAAGAGATAGAGAACATTCAACCGTCATTGTTACCCATCTACCAGCAGACGCTACGCAAACCGCAGTTCGCAAATACTTCAAGCCCTACGGACATATCAATAACATAACCGCTTTCATAAAAGAAGAAGATGGCCAATCCACCACGGCCTTGATTGAATTTGGCTCGGCAGAAGAAGCACAGTCCGCCCTTCTCAGAGACGCCAAGTATTTTGGCGAGTCCCAAATCACTGTCCAGCCGGGCCACGATCTCACAGTCTACGTCGCCAACTTCCCTCCTGCTGCCGACGACCAATTCATACGCGATCTATTCAAAGACTGTGGCGATATCCTGAGCATCCGCTGGCCAAGCCTCAAGGTCAACACGCACCGCAGATTTTGCTACGTTTCGTTTCGCGACAGAGACGCCTCCGCTAAAGCTGTCGCTAAAGAGGGAAAGCTTCTGGAAGGCAAATACCGTCTTCTAGCAAAGTACTCTGATCCTGGCCGCAAAAAGAACCGCGAGGGCGCCATCGCAGAAGGTCGTGAAGTCCACATCAGCAATTTGGATCTATCAACCACAGAAGCCGAAATCCGCTCTGTATTTAGGAAATTCGGGACCGTCCAGCGGGTGAATATTCCGCTAAACATGGCGGGCAAGAATCGCGGCTTTGCGTTTTTGGACTTTGAATCCAAGGACCAAGCTGAAAAGGCAGTTGCAGAACTGAACAGCACCAAGTTCAAGTCTCAGATTCTAAAGGTCGAGCTCTCAAAGGAGAGCAGGGTGAAACCTTTTGCTAAAACTGAATTCCAGCGCGCACCAAACTCGCCTGCCCCGTCTTCATTGAAGGACGCCGAAGGCGACCAGGCAATGGGCGACGCCGTCGCAGAGGGTCCTTCTAAACCATCGTCTTCAGAAATAGCCGCCCGAACCATCGCCCTCATGGGTCTCCCAGACACCGTAAACGACGCGCGTGTCAAGGCCCTCATCGAGCCCCTGGGCTCCATTGTCAAACTCGTCCACCAGCCAGGCCACGGAGGCGCCATCATCGAATTCGCGGATGCAGCTGCCGCCGGCAAAGCGGCCCTTCAACTCAATAGCATGGAGTACGAAGGGCACAAGCTTCGTACAGGGTCCCCCGATGAACTACGTCACAATAAACCTGGCAATAAGCCTGTGCAACAAAGCAGGCCAAAGGGGCTTATGGCTCCGCCGCAGGCTACGAGACGAGCTGTCGGCAGACCTGGTCCAAAAAAAGGGTTGGGCTTTGCACCTCGGCCTGCGACGGCGACGGCAGCCAAACCTGTTGAAAAGGGGGGTGGGCCAAAGAGTAATGCTGACTTCAAAACTATGTTTTTGGCGGGTAAGAAGGGGGATGAAGAATGAGTAGATTCCCTTCTTTCCATGTATAAGTTTGTAAATTAGCAATGGGTAGGGAGCGAGGCACTGATTATGACATGAGGGTAGGAGCTGCGTATCTATACCATGGATATGTCGTGCAGTCTGTGGAAGGATAATATAGGACCTCGCTGTCAGGCACGGGCTTCTAACACCAGTTGACAGGGTTTGCCGTGGGATGCTAGATTTTATTTATGAATCAAATCTTTGCCTCTGATGAGCCATCAATTGTCTATGTCTATATTGTATATATTTTGCATGGTATCCCATATATCCCAATTGTGAAGGAATCCTTGTGACAGTAGTCGTTCGCCAATCCCAGTGCATCAAAACTAAGCAAGCTACTTTGCAACCTATGCCTTAGCCACAGCCACAGATACACCACTGCTCTTTCCATCGTCCCTCTGATCTTGCGTGAACAACTTCTGCCACACTTCTAGCCATTTCTCTTGCTGGGCAGTTGGTAATTTACCCGGTTGTTTGAACGAACGAGTAAGTAATTCGCGGAGTCGAGTACGGAGGACTTTGAGAACGAGCATAGTCTTCCAGTCCGGTAGCGCGAAGCGTCCTCTGTTACCGTCGAGGACAATTACACCCGAGAACATCTGGTGCAGGTCAGATACTGAAGACTGCGTGGGCAACTGTGAAGGGGGTATACATACATCGCAGCGGACGTCGCCGCAAAGAAGGGCAATGGCAAATGGTTCAACCGCAGTGGTTTCATGCGCGTGATAAACACTGCAGCTGTTAGTGGCTTCTCCGCACGCAATCAGCACCGGGACACTCACGTCTTTGACTGCATAATGTGATAGTAGGATAGCCATTTAATGTCCAAGAAGCCTCTATTCACGGAGGACGGGTGCAAACTAATGTTCTGATTATTGCCAATGTTACGGAGGCCTTTCGTACCGGGTGTATCGCGAACAAGAAGCTTGGGGTAGAAGCTCCAGGCAATGACTGATGAGGAAATCAAGTCGTTTTCACTATTGATGTTGACTCGTCGAGGAACTTCGTAAAAGTTTTGCTGGCGTCGACGGCCTTGTGCAAATCGAAGACGTGCGAGTGTACGGCGCTCTTCCTCTGTTAAGGAGAGGAAACCCGAGTCTGCTAGGGATACAAGCAGCTGACCCTTCAAGTCTTCGATATTGGCCAGCGTCTGCTGACTGAGGAAATTCTTGCGACAGAATTGAAATTCTTTGCCCCCGCCGCTGTTGGCTTGGCATACTCGCTTCCAGGCAAGGTAGGCGTTGTATATAGTGAGAAGATCGGAATCTGCTCGACGGAAGGCCATTCGTGCATTATCGGCTTGTGCACGCTGACCCCAGGGCGCAGAAAAGGGTGACTTTGATGAGAGAATAGCGGCAACGGTGATAGACATGTCGAGGCATTTGAATACCGTGCCCAACAGGATAAGCTTACCCAGGAACACATCAAGAGGTAATCTCGCGAGCTGGTGGCCCAAAGGAGTGAGTTCCTCGGCTGTTGTCAAGGCACGAACATCTACCAATGCATCAATAGCACGGCGAATATTCTTAGCCGATGGAGCATCCAGGGCATCACTAAGTGTCTCCTCGATCCCGCCAATCTTGCAAATCTTGACGCGAATAGCCAGGTCCTGTAGAGATAAACGAAGCATTTCAGGCGTCTGCTGGTCACTCATAATACAGTCGTGTCGATACTTGGTGAACATATGGAAGCATAACCCATTTTGAACACGACCTGCACGGCCTCGCCTTTGTTTCGCGTTGGCTCTAGAAATAAAGGTATCAATTAGTCGAGATAGCTGTTTCTTCTCGTCAAAACGCATCTCGCGATGCTTTCCGGTGTCGATAACGCAAGTGACATCCGGGATTGTAATACCAGTCTCGGCGATGTTGGTGGCGAGCACAATCTTGCGCACTCCTGGAGGTGGTACGAGGAAGGCCGATTCTTGGTCCTCAGTAGCAATAGAGGAATGGAGAGGGTATACCAGCCAGTCTTTGGCGAATCGCGGGTCTCCAAGGAGCATGTCGTTGAGAGTTCGAATTTCAGCAATACCTGGCAAAAATACTAGGATTGCCTTGCTGTAAAATGCGAGGGACTCATCCGAGGCAATACGCACCATGAGCTGTAGAATTAGGTCGAAGTCGATGCGGTATTCGTCCAATTGAGTTAATGTGCTTCTTGTCTGCGGAGAGTAGGCCGATAAGCTCGAAGAGATTTCACTCTTTGGACCGTTGCCCTCTCCCTCCACAACATCATCATCAAGATCGACCATCTTCTCCTCAGGCGAGTCGCTCGGGCGGTATCCTGTGAGTTCAACAACATCTTCCAGATAGCGTACATCCACTGGGAATGTTCGACCAGGTACATTCAGAATTGGTGCGCCACCCAAATATGCCGAGAACCGTTCGGCGTCCACTGTGGCAGACATAAGCACAACCTTGAGGTCTTTTCTCTTCGTCAAGAGCCTCTTGAGGACGATGAGAAGGAAATCGCTGTCGATAGATCGTTCGTGAACCTCGTCAAGAATCAAATGTGTCACCTCACGGAGATCGTTGGATCCCTCCAACATTCGCATAACAATACCAGTCGTAGCGAAAACCAGTCTCGTCTCCCGAGATGTGTTGGCTTCAAGACGAATGGAGTATCCCACAAGTGATCTGTTGGTACCTAAATCACCCTTGTTTTCACCAAGTTCGTCGCTTACGCGCCTGGCCAGAGAGATGGCCGAAATTCTGCGAGGTTCTGTACAGTATATTTTGCAGTGCCTGCCTTGAGATAGTTCGTGTTCCAGCAAAAATGCAGGTACTTGCGTGCTCTTGCCGCTAAAATTGCCATGTTAGCCCAGGCTGCAGTGGTATGATATATCACGGTCACATACCATCCCGTCTCTCCACAGACAATGACGACTTGGTTGTCGTCAACAGCCGCAAGGACTTGTGGTCGAAACTGCCACATGGGGAGCTGCATTCGGAATTTCTGGGCTATGGTTAGGCTTGAAGTGAAATTGCAACTGAGAAAATTCAATGGGGAAAAGATGACTTACCAACATGGATTGGAACTTTTCACCCCTAGCCTTGTCATACCAAATTTTCTGCAACGATTCTACACCAGCAGTGTTTAGTCTTGAGCGATCCAAGGATCCATTTTGTGTCGAATCTGGTGAGTTTTTAGCTGCCCCACGGCCTCGGAAGGCAATAACTCCATCTTCTAGCTCTTGATCTTGTCGTTGGCGAACCATGGTTCTCAACGACCTCACTGCTTCGCGATCCTGAGTATCCATATAGTCCTTCTTCGCTTCTGCCATTTCTGACCAAAGATCTTTCCAAACAGGGGGTAGTCTTAGACTAACTTTCTCATCCTTCGAATTACCGTTAAATATGTGGAAAAGGGCCGCAGTGGAGATGTAGGCCTCGGATTGTTTGGCATCAGACACAGCAACACTTTTCATCGTGAAGGTGAAATGCGTCGCGTCAGCGGCGACTTCGACGTCCGAATCGGGCAAGACGTGAGGCAGCTCCTGAGCTTTTGTCCACCAAATATCAACAGATTGGCGGCTAGCAAATGTAGCTTCAGAGACTACAGTATACGTCATTCTGACTGACGGGTCTCTACAAATGATATAAGCAAATATCAAGAAAAGGGCTAGAGAAATGTGCGGCACTTACCTGGAGCGACAAGAGTCCTCCAAAACTCTTCTAGGGCCCACTCCTGTCCATTTCCCAAAGTCTCGAAGGACAAGTTTAGTACCATCTGCAGCGGTAATGACAGTCTGCGTTTTACCCGTGTTTGGATCCACCTCATTCTGTGGGAGGGATGCGAATAGTCCAGCAATGGCGTCGCTATCTTCATCTTCTTGAGCCAAAATTTCCGCAGCAATACGATCCGCCTCATCGTTTACACTGTCGTCGGCATTGGCTTCTGGTGTTTGCTCTGCTTTCGATCCGAGTTCCTCTGCCGCAGCTTGTGCTTCCTTCTTGGCAGCAGCCAGTTGTCTTTCGACAAGGATCTTCTCGGATTTCCACCTAAGGTCGGCATTGAACTTATCGAAAAGAACGTCACTCTCGATCTTTTTTATTTTAGCTTCAAGCTTAGCAATCTCTAGTTGTGTCTTGTCCTCGCTATCGGTTGGTCTAACGCTACGGCTGAGCTCGAGATGCTTTGCTCTTGCGGAAACGTATTCGGGTATCAGATCTTCGGGTTCTATATCTAGGTCGTATGTCATGACAAGCTTTTTATTTGGCGATGCAGACTTGCTTCCTCGAGTATTTGCTTTGTTCTTGCCGGAGCTGAGTGACAGAGGCTTGGGAGTACCGGGGCGTGATGCGTTCGGGGTATCTGTAGGGGTATCTATCGATTGTATTAGCGCGGGAACTTGGAAATTTGTACAGTAATGGATTACAGGCTGCAAGTCAAAAATACCTCTGGAAATAGGCTTGCCCTTGAATTCGTATAAGGGAAGTTCCTCGGCAGGGCACTCTCGGGCAAGCCACTCCAAGGACTCATCCAGGCCCCAGATGGAGTCTTTGACAGAAGAAGAAACATTGGTGGCAATATCCAAAATGTGTTTAAGAACAGCTTCCACTCGTGCTTCGGGAAATCCAGCAGCGGCCAAGGTCTGGCGCAAGGTCCACAGCCGAACAATCATGTCCTCCTCGGACGGAAGCTTTCCAGTGCCAACATTTTCGGATGACAAGCTTGACCCGGCAAACCTCATCTCTGCCTTGATGAGGTCGAGAATATGTTCCACCAGGTCTGGAGGTAGCCATTTTGGAGCATTGACCAGATCAGCCTGGCTACGGAGCAGGCGTCGGTCAGTTTCGAGTCGAGTTCGTTGTCGCTGGGCATCACGCTTGGTTTTCTGGGAATGCTTCTCGACGAGGAGCTGCAGCTCGGACTCTTCAAGCTGCTTTTCAAACTCTTCGGGGCTCAAGGGCTTGTCCTCGCTGGTCTGCTGGGCAGTAGTACTGCCATGACCATCACCAGTCGTGGACTTTGCGGATGGCGGGGCATTTTCCTTGGATGGAGGGGCAGAGGCACCAGAAACACCATCGGCCAACGGCTTTGCTTCCGAGTCGGATACTTCAGGCCGGGGTTTGGAGGCAATCGAGGTAGTCGCAAAGCCGCGTGCCGGGTTAGCAGCGGGCTTCTTCTTTTTCTTGTTGCCAGCCATTGCCCTCGAGACTGGTAACTAGGAAAGGAAGGGCAAGCACAGCAAAAGAGTATTGACAGAGGCAGAAGGAAGCTGGGGCTGGTGCTGATGATGTTTATTCGGGTGGGAACATTGAACCAGGCTGGACTTTAGCCTAGAAGAGACATGGACGGACCAGTGCCGTTGCCGCTGGAGCTGGTACCAAACAGTACATTTAAGTACTTGGATGTATCAACCAGAGACATGCCAGGCTCTCAATGAGCGCGGCATTCAGGCTGGGCTCAAGTGCTCAAGTGCTGCGTATTGCGCTGTCAGGTGGCGCCCTAAGCGGTAAGGGTCGGTTGTTGCGGGGGGCGCAGGGACCAGTCCGTTGATTGACCAGTCCGGTCTGGTTCAATGTTCCATAGAAGCTGGCTTTAGAGACTGGCTACTACTAGTCAAGCACTTAAGTTAAGTACTTAAGTAAGTACTTAAGTAGGCAGGTGGCATCTCACCTACTTGCTTATACTTAAGTAGATCGATTGATACGTCTGGTCTAAATGTTCTGAGTGCCGCCATACCCCAAGTCCTGGGTGTTGAAGTATCATTGTGCCGTGCAGGGATCTGACTACTACTTGGTCATGAGCCGCCCATTTCTGTTACTCGCCGTTACTCTGAGTCATCCCGACATAACGACAAATGAGCTTCCAAGACAACCGAGAAAGCAGTAGGGAGCAAAATTTTGCTTTCAGCGGACATGCGTGACGAAGATAGCCAACTGTCTATTGAACCGGCCTATCGATCATCATGACTTCTTTAGCTGCATTGTGTGGTTTGGCATGACACGGATTCGAATGTTGACAATCATTCCGTTGTAGTATATATACTATTCCTATTTAAAAATCCACCCCAGAAATTCACTATAAACGAAATTCATTGCATTTTGAATCACATACCGAGATACTGTACTGGCTCCTGTAGTGACAGCTAATGCTCCAAATACTCCTTGAGAGCATGCTCATGGGCGGTGAGAAGAATTTCCATGTTCCCACACCAATTGCGAGGCGGGGCCAGATTTTGACGTGGGGTGGAAACTTCATGTATGGGCCAGAGCCGAGCTGCAGTCAGTCAGCCAAAGCTTTCAACGTCGAGAACGCACTTCGATAATTGGCACCCGTTGCCTTCTCTACAGGCTCACCTTTGCCTGTTCCTTCTTTCTCTTGTCCTCTTCCTCCGTCTTACCCGACCCGTGTCCCTCCACCTCCGCCGATTATCGAAAGACGGTGTGAGAATTCGAGAAGCCCTCCGTAGCCCCAGATGATTCCGTCACTCCATCTGCTTCGTCCCGCTCCTCGACATGTCTGAATCGTTGGTCAACGACAAAGGCCCTTCCGCAGCCGCTGCTGGGCTCGACTTAGTCGTAATTGACCAAGCCTTGATGTCTGCCTCGACTTCGATTCGAATTGCCAAGCTTCACCAAGTCGACGAAACCATTCGACACAAAAGTAGCTCCGTGCCCAGCCTCTACCTCGTCAAAGATATGTGCGACTGACTTCATGCTACAGCATCCGATGCTTCAGCTATTCCCGGCCTTTTGAGCCTGCTCTTCGCCACCCACCCATTCTACCGAGACCGAGAATCTAGACTCGCGGTTCAAAAATGCTTGACCACTATAATAGCAGCTGGAGCCAGCCCAACGGCCCTTTCTTCCCTCGTTAAAACGATGCGTCAAGAGATACAGAAACCGGGAATTGCCATATCTAATGCCTTTGTCATTGTTGAGTGGTGTAGTCTGTTCATGCAGCACGTTTCAGCCGACATCTGGGTACATCTGGGTGATGAGATCCTTCTCACCTGCGCGGATGCTGTAGAGAAATGTCTACAATCAGGCTGCAAAAGTGGTATGACTCGATCAGCAACGGTTGTGACCAGGCGTGGTTTCCGCAGGCTGTTTTCTTCGGCTGATACTCGAGAAAAGTTCGTGACCGCAGCTGTCACGACTCTCACGACCAAAGCTGCTCAGCCAATGGCCAAAAACGCCGTTATTTTGGGCATTATTGCTGGGGTTTCGGCTCTTCAGGCGCCATTAAAGCCAATTCTGGAAAGATTGAAACCGAATTACTACGAGTTTTATTCGCGGGAGATTGTTGGATCACGAACTTCCCTGCCAGCACATGTGGCATCGGGACTCGGCGATTTCTTTGTTAACTTCGCCAGCCTCGAGGACGTCGAAAAAGATCTGGTGCCTGCTATCGAGAAAGGCTTGCTGCGTGCTCCGGAAGTCGTTTTGGGAGGAGTTCTGAAGCCGCTGGTCACGTCACTGCCTGACGATTTCGATCTGTCAAAAATCCTGGATGGCAAGCTCTTGAAGCCCCTTTTGTCCAATGTCAAGTCCAGCAATCCATCTATTCGAAGTGGAGCCATAGCGGCCTTTCGCGCAATTGTGGTAAAATGCCATGATCTTAAGACATTAGATCATGTTGTCGATGAACTTGCCAATCCTTTAGCGACCGGCAAGCTTCCCGCCGCGGAGCAGAAGATCCTGCATTCGGAAATGCTAGAAGCTACTCCCCTATCATCACAAAGTACCACAAAGGTTCTGGTATCTCTTTCAACCATCTCCACAAAAGAAGGAAACGAAGCTGCGCTTGCCGCAGAGACTTCAGCATTAGCCCATGCCGCAATTCTAGCCCTTAAAGAAGGAACTGATCTCCCCAAACCTGCCACCGAAGCTTTTGTGAAAGGGCTTGCTGATAAAAAGCCTGGTTCCAGGAGAATATGGTTGCTCCGTGTAGCAAACATCTTGTATACTCTCAGAGACACCAGCGCGACTGCCGGACTCACTACATTTGTCGATGGGGTCATTTCCAAACTCATTGTAAACTTCCAAGAAGTTACTGCTAACGCCGCCGGATCAGCACTATCTGGATTAGTTGTCGGAGCTTACATTCTGACTGCATTAGACCCAGTATTGTCTCGCCAGTTCCCCGACTCTTCAATAAGTTCAGCCCTGGCCAAGGCGTCCATCTCAACCCAGGCATTATCTTTGGCCTCAAAACAATCTTTCTTATTGAATTACAGAGTCTACGGCAAACTTAATACTGAAGAAGATCTTCAGTGGTTAAGTAGAGCCCTGACGTCGGTGGCAAAGAACCTCGACAACGAGTCTGACAAGGCCGTTACCCTAGCTTGGGCAGAGGCGTTTATCTACCTGATTACAGCGTCCTCCATTCCTCCAAAAGTACAACGGGAGGCTCTTAGATCCCTCTCAAAATTATATGCCGAGCGAGCTCAGGTGGTCTCTCAGTTTGTTATTGACGGTTTGTGGGACAATTTTGCCCTTGACGAAGCCAAAGAGAAAGATTTGAAAATCAACAAATCAAACTTGATTCATGTTTTGCGGTCAATATGCATGGACCCCAGTGAGCTCTCTGGGCTTGGAGGCAATGTATCGCAGGAGCAATTGGAGTCCCAAGCCTGTTCTATTCTGGTTCTGGCGAGACCGGAACTTATTGCTCGATCCAGCTGGATTGACATTTGCCTTCGTATGGGCCTTGATCCTGGCACTCTCGCCAAGAAATACACTGATGAGCTCCTCGGGGAAATCGGCCGACGATCTACTAATGAACAAAAGGTAGGACAGCTTTTAACTGGTACAGATGTATCAGGAGATCTGATCTGGTAGCACCATGCTAACCCGGGCGTCATAGGTTGATGTGATTAAGCAAGCTGCTCACAACGCAGCCGCTGAATTGGCATTCGTCGCCCCTGAAGTCATAACTCCACGGCTAATGGAACTCATTAGCCGCGATCTGGATCCCAGACAACTTCAGGACGTTGGTCCCGTCGAGGCTGCCATTTATAGAACTCCGGAAGGGACCTGCTTCGTAGACGTCCTAGCTAAGAAGTCGCAAAACGCTGCCCCTAACAAAAACACCAAGGACTATGACATACTGAAATGGGAAGAAGATCTGAGAAGTCAGCTTGAGCAAAAGAAAGGCCAGCAACGGAAGTTGACTCCAGAAGAGACTGCCAAAGTGAATGCTCAATTGAAAAAGGAGTCGGGCATCAGAAGCTCAATTAGGGGGGTCGAAGCAAAGCTGTTGCGCGGTATTGGAATCATCAAGTCACTCGCAACCGGTCCACCTACGGATGCCACACTTTGGCTTTCTTTCTCTATCGGTCTAATTCTTGACATCATCGATGCAGGAGCCGGCCTGATTATTGGCGACACTGCCCCATTGGCCTATGTTGTTTGTTCCGAGAAGGTCTCATCAAGACTAGGGGCTCTTCGACAATTCATCGGTGTTGCCACGCTACGACTTCGAGGTATTACCTTGTCCGAAAACTACGATGAGGAAAAATTGGAAGACCTCGTCACCCGAGTTCTTTACCGTCTCCGATTCGCAGGCGAACAGCGCCCGTTTGATTCTGTTTCACTGATGTATATTTTGCCTCTTGTGTTGGATCTTCTGCGAAAGGGCGGTGTTGGAGAAGATGCCGACGATCGAGATGCTCAGCTCGTTTTGGCTATCGAGTTCCTCTCCTTCCACACTGATGTTTTCTCCGATGATGCAATCCCGCGCACCGAACTTCTAACTGTTCTCATTCAATCTATGCTTCAGTATGCTCAGCACTACAAGCTAATCAAGGACTGTTTCGCCGACATGTGCCGCTGTATCGCACCGAACATGAGTCAAGCAGAGATGCAGGTCCTTGCTAAAGGTGCCACTGTGGCCCAATCGAGTGTCAGGACCAGCGTGTTGCAGTCAATTAGCTCCGAGGTAGATATGAGTGACCTCGACTATACCGACGAGATATGGTTAGCGTGCCATGATGATGAACAAGAAAACCAAGAGCTTGGAGCAGAGATTTGGGAAGAAAGTGGATTCACAGTTGACGACACTGTTGCCATGCGTATGATTCCATATTTGGACACCAAAGACTCCCAGCTGCGCCGAGCTGCAGCTAGGTCGCTGGCCGAAGCCGCGCAGAGACATAAGGAGACTTTGAGCGAAGTTATTCCCAAGCTGCAGTCATTA